GGTCCGGGCATGCTTCGCTCCCTGGGACCCTGGAACTATCCTGAGGGTTTTGTGTATCTTGTATACTTTTGTATCCCCCCAATCTTTGTTTATATTTTTCACCTTCTTTTTTTTCATTTTCTGTTCCCTGTTTAACAATATACTTTATTTTTCATTTAACTCCCAATCGGTTTTTCAAAGTCTCTCTCTCTGGGAGGGGGGGGATGGGAGCACATAGTTCTGTTCTATGTGGGTCCTGCCCTGAACCCCTTTTTACACAGAACCAGAACATAATGCCTACCAGTTTTAGGAAGGTAATTAATTTCCAGTAGAGTCTAGGAAGTCTGCAAATACTGAAAAAACAGGATCACATTTAGGAATATTGCTCAACGTGGCCACAACAGATGAGCCTTATTTGTGTAAAAAGGAGTTGTGCCAGTAGATTGCTTCACACAACAGCAAATGTGTCCTTATATTTCTCTAGACTCGCATATATTAAAAGGACAAAGACATCCAAGCTAAGTGCAGAAAGAACCAAGTTCCATTACAGACCTGCCTATCAAGGCCTTCTAATATCAAGGTTTCTTTATAAAACTCTCCTTCACATCCTTCCTTCCTTCCTTCCTTCCCTTTTCTTCTTCCCATGCCCACCTGAGTCTGCTTAGTCCAGCTGCCTTGGATAAAATCTGACATAACACAGAGCTATTACAAACCAGGATGAAATCTCCCAGACTGAGATGCTTCAATCCGTGAATCACGCAGCCCCAAGCTGTAAAATCAACACTGGTGTTCTCTTACCCGCCAGTTTACACTTTGCAGCTTGAAATGGAAGCGAAGTGAACTGTTTATGTAATTTGTACACACTGCTGCTTTCAACAAACTCATTGAAGCCATGATCAACATAGTGTACCTGCAAATGGAAAAGGGAATAAAAGCATAAGATCATTAATATAATTGTAAATATGTTTTCTTGAGACCAGGGAAGACGTGTTCAGTTACCACGTTCTCCATGCAGCCACAGCCAAATCACTGATTCTGTACTATGTAATGCCATTAATCTCATATTTATTTCACTGCTTGAATGTTCAGAGTTTTCAGGGAAATCTTTCTTCTCAAGATCTCTGTAAAACAATCCTCTCCAACTGTTCCACAGAACGTCAGCTCTCAATAGCATCAGTGCTGGAAACAGTCAGCACATATTACCTCAAGCAACATGAATAAAGGTAACAAAATGGACACTTTTATTCATAAAGTTTCGAAAGTGTTGAAAAGTCAAATATCACTTAAGTGCTATTCTATGTTTCATTTTTAGCTTTTACAGCATTAAGAGAATCCTTTTGATTTATGCTTATAGTAACTTTGATACAAGTACTGAAGTCAATGCAGGAAACACTAGGGAAACTGCTGATTGGTAGAAAGTAATCAGAGCTAAAGTGAGATGATGAAGGCTTTAACAGGGATTTTACAACATTTTTTCTAAATTCTATCATGCAAATGTCTAACATTGAAAAGGGAGTCTGAACACTGTGTCAGAGGATAATCAGCAAAAGCTGCAATAAACCAGTAGCCTTCTTCAGGCCGACAGCTCTAGCCAGAGAGAAACTGGAGGTGAGATTGCTACCAATGTCCTTGCCACTTCTCTAAAGCCAACCATCTTCTACAAAACTGAGTTCTGACACCCTCTTCCAAGTTCCAGCTGAAAGGTATCACACTATCTTTCAGAAAAATCTCAATTCTAATACATGTGCTATTTAAATATTTATTAAATGGGTCCACTTTAGAAGTATGTTAAAGTAGACTGGAGTAAAAAGTCACGTAACTGGGAGAAGAAACAAAAAATAAAAAGGTATCTTCAATATTTGTCTAGGCAAGAAATAACTGAAGTTTGAAAGGTTTTTTACAGTTCTATCACATGCTCTAGTTACATTGCAGATGGCAAGAGGAGTCTGTTTGGCCCAGGAAAACTTTAACAGAGGAGTTAAATAATCTCAAAAGGGTTTAACTAAAATGCACACTATATACAACTCCCAGAACACCAGATCTGCCTAGAAGGAAACACAAGTATATCCTTCCTATTGTCTTGCTATTTAGTGCATGTAAGAGATACTTCAGTACAAGGCTTCAAACAAGATCTATTAGCAAGTGAATTTTGTTATTCCCTTTCTGTTCTTCTGTCCCATTTCAAAGAGAGCTACTACACCCATTCCTCCTAAGACTATCAAAGGTACATTCTCGGTACACAAGTGGTATAGGGCCCAGCTTCATATAAAATCCAAAACAAAACCCCAAAGCTCAAGATGATTTATGGAAAGAAAACTGAAAGCCTATTTAATTTTGGCAATCACAAAACTTAAAAAAAGTCTTAATTTCTCACATAACTGAAAATAGAAAGGAGAAAACTGTACTTCAGGGCAAGAAATAAGAGAATGCCAGTGCAGCATATTTAGCAATTCACTGTGCATTTGAAAAGAAACATTTGTTTCAAGTCTTTCTCCAAGTCCCAGAAGAAGTAATTGCTTGCCTTTACTCTGTTGTCTTCCAGAGAAATTATCTGAGCACGCAGCCAGGCATCTTCTTCAGCATGCACTGCAACAAGCTGCCCAACACTCAGCGACTCAGCTACTGACACGGTACTGTTCTGACTATAGTACCCTTTCATGTCATCTTCCATTTGCTCCTGGGCAGAAGAATAATCTTTGCCCACGTACCTACAGTATTAAAAAAAGGCAACACAAGAGTTAGGATGCAACTTTAAAAAGCTGAGTCAAAACCTAAGAATATTTACGTGCATATATGAAGATGAGTAAATTATGGATATGTAAGTTTTCTAAGCACATTGGTATCCAGACTCTTTTCTCATTAACAGGGCTACAAAAGAGTAACTGACATAAAATTTAGTACTTTTACTGACAGCTAAATGTGGTCCAGCTGTCTATAATCTTAGATGCTCAACCAGATTTTTCATAAATGCTCTTACTTGTTTATTACAATAATGTAGAGCAACTTGACCACAAGCGCAGAGTACTATCTGGGATCAAGTATAAACAAGAATTAATATGTCATCTCTGAAGTTACTTTGTCATTAACAAACACCACCTTAATCAGGTTTTCACTAAGGTTGATCAAAACCAACTTTGCAGATCAGCTGTCAAACCGTGTGCTACTTACTCTCAGCCTACAGAATCCTGATCCTATGCTACCTACCTGATGGTTCATAGTGACAAAGTTTGTGTGGCATAGATCTTCCTTAATAAAATATATAAACTTACTGAAAACTCCAAATTGTAAGTTCAGAATGCTTCAGAAACAAGTTAGATTTGAGCAGACAAAAGGAAAACTTACTCCCAAATCTGTAGTACTAGCTACTGTTTTAACTTGTTCACTGAGCAATTAATACTGCTCATTTCCACCATACAGTTTAGATTATCATTCTATAAAAATCTAGGTTTATTCTGGACATCTGCTATATGCCTGGGATTAGTGCAGATACTGTACTATGACATACTATGCCAACTCTTTTATCATGATTAAGTACAGATCTGTTCATATGGCAGGAACCCTTCTTTTCCTAACGACAACCCGTTTGTTTCTATGTAAGCACTCATCTACTTCATAATGGACAGGGAGTGAGGCAACAGTCATGTATGCGCTACTTAAAAGGTTTTTTTCTTAACATTTGTTTCATAGAGACACTTATCAGACAGAAGGAGTATTTTAATGGAAAGCAGAAGAATCTTTCAGAATTTTCTCCCTTGATATTTTGTGGTAATAGGTGAGTATCATACTGAAGAAGTTTTTGGCTGCTCAAAGCCAATTCAAAAATTACTTTTCAGATTCTTTGGAAAAGAATCTTGGAAAGCAGCCTCAAAAAAGTGTGTTAGAGACTCATCTATGTGCAGGTGGCCCAACACTGAAGCATGCATTCAGCACCATTCTTAGTCTCAGCTGGAATCTATTCACATGTCAAGTAAAGCTTGCTGCTTCACTGTGAAAGAAACAGAGGAATATGCTTCTATAGGAAAACAAACTATAAAATTTTTGTCTAGTCAAAAAGATAAAAGGAGAAAAGTACAGAAGCTGTATCACAGACAGGCAAGGTAGTGAAGAATAAAAGGTGATATTTATTGTAAGAATTCAAACATAGCATCTTGTGTATCATCTCTGCTTCCAATCCCACTGTTGTAGATGCATAGGAAATACCTAGGAGTGTTTTTGTCACCTCACTTCCATTCTGAATTTATCAGCGTTCCTGTAGAGTTGTACCATGTCCCAAAACTGAAGTAGCAACAAACCTTCCAGCTTTGTCTTAATTAGTAAGGCAGCTGAAAGGTATCAGCCAAACAACACTTAGCCACATACCATGAAAATTGAGATATTGCTCCATCCCCAAGACAGAAAGAGAATCTTGACTTTATTGCTTCCCAAGGCTCAGCACTGGCTCCTGTTCTCTAATATCTTTATCAATGACCTGGACGAGAGGCTCGAGTCCACCCTCAGTAAGTCTGCACACGACATCAAGTTGGGTGGGATTGTTCATCTGCTTGAAGGTAGGGAGGCTCCATAGAGAGATCTGGACAGGCTGGATCAATGGACTGAGGCAAGTAGGATGAGATTCAACAAGGCCAAGTGCCAGGTCCTGCACTTGGGTCACAAAAACCCCAGGCAACGCTCCAGGCCTGGGGAAGAGTGACTGGAAAGCTGCCTGGCAGAAAGGGACATGGAAGGGTTGGTCAACAGCTAGCTGAGTAATAGCCAGCAGAGTGCCCAGGTGGCCAAGAAGGCCAACAACATCCTTGCTGATATGTATGGTCAGCTTCGGGTGGCAACTGATTGGGAGATCACTACCAGCTGTCCCTACCTCCCACATAAGCTCGGAGGCAGGGCAAGAAGCCACCTCTATATAAGCTGACCCTGCTTGCAGTGGGGTTAGCCCACACAGTATATGTGCTGTGTGAGGATTCTGGCTACGGGAAGGGCTCCCCAACTCTTCATGGCAAGTGGAGTTCCCAGGATGGCAGGGCTAGAACATGAAGCTGTCTCCGAGTCCCTACCATGTAACTGGACTCATGGCCTGGCTGCTACCATTGCTACCATGGCCCCTGGCTTGGCTCCACGCCCAGCTCACTGCCTTCTTCACGTCCACTGTGGTGGGTGAGTGCATTGACCTGTTCCTCCCTCTGGTTGTCTGGCACCTTGGATCTCTGGTGTGTGATGTGGGAGGGGAGGGAGGAGTTTGGCTGCTGGGCTGCCCGTTAATGTTACTATCATTCTATATTGGGCAAATGGTCAGCAGAAGAGTCCCTCACTCCAAGAAGGACACTGAGGTGCTGGAGTGTGCCCAAAGAAGGGCAGTGAAGCTGATGAAGGGTCCAGAGAACAGATCTTGTGAGGAGTGAATGAGAGAACTAGGGTTGTTTGGAGAAAAGGAAGCTTAGGAGAGTCTCTTGCTCTCTACAACAACCCAAAAGCAGGTTGTAGCAAGGTGTGGGTTGGTCTGTTCTCCTAAGAAACAGTCGATAGGACAAGAGGACACTGCCTCAAGTTGCACCATGGAGGTTTAGTTTAGATATTAGGAAGAATTTCTTCACAGAAAGGGTTGTAAAGCACTCTAACAGGCTGCCCAGGGACATGATCAAGTCATCATCCCTGAAGATATTTAAAAGAGGGTAGATATGGTGCTTAGGGACACAGTTTAATGCTGGGTAAATGGCTGGACAATGATCTTAAAGATCTGTTCCAATCTGAACTATTTTATGATTCTATGGTGCTGCAAAAGTCAATATCAAACAATAGCTGCTACATAGTTCTTGTGTAGATCAGGAGAAACTGACTGCTAAACATGCACTGGAAAGGTGAGTCCATGCATAGTTTCCTTCCTACACACCCACATGAACATTTTCTTGTCATGGCAAAACACTATTCTATTCAGGGCTAGTTTCATCTTGAAGATAAATGACCTTGCCCATGAAGTACATAACCCTAAGGAGTAATTTCTGTATGTAGGGCCAAGAAACAACTAATCAACACCATGTACCCACACAGAGCTGACAAACTCAGAAACTTTAATATTGTCCACAAACGATGCTCTAACATTCGGGAACTGATGCTTTATAGGAGATGAGGGCAATCACGATAAAGTTCCTAAGTGTCAAAAGTTAGTTTGAACCATGGGACTTGAAGCACTCCCCAAATAATTACTGGAAGCATCTTTAAAATAACAGATTAGAAAGCTAAGACTTGTTACTCCACATGCACAGCAAATTATCAATGCTGCCAGAATTAAAAGGTGTACAGTAAGAAGGAAGAAGTTCTGCAGAATTATGCCTCACCTACATAGCATGATGGAAGTAAGAGACAGATAATTTGTTCCTGCTTTTCCCAGTATAAAACATGCACTGTGCATCGTGTTTGTTTCAGTAGCTGTAGGTACAGATGATTACATCGCTTAAATTGACTGTCTTTCCTGTCTCTATTAATTCACCATCCTTCAAGTCTTAGACTAAATTTAAACAGAGCCCTCACAGGAACAAGTTAAAACGTAAAGCCTCTGTTTTCTCTGATGTAGCTCTTCCTTCTGGGATTTTTTTTTTAAGCTTAGGGTCACTCACAAATTCTAGCTGTTTCTTCTTCGCTAAAATGAGTGATCCACCCAGCTGCAGATAGTACAAATGTTAATAATGATGAACAATCTTGTCTTAAATTATGCTATGTGGTAAAACCTGTATACAAAATAAATGTATAAGTAATATACTAAAAAATGGTTATCTGAGAAAAAGCACCACAGAGGAATGGTGCTAACAGCTAAAACAAAGGTGGCAACATTCTCAAATGACAATTTCTCTCATAACGCCCAAGTACAGGGATTTTCACTAAAACAGTGGACTGCCACAAAAAGAAAGTTCAAGGTTGAGGATTCCCATATATTACTGATAGAGAGAAAAAGGATATCTAAATTTCAGCCTTAAGGCTTGCATGTTGAGTATTGCCAACCAGTAGTGTGGAACAGGGTATTAGATTCATAGTGAAAGGGTCTGCAAGTAAAATGCACATGTGCTTCTTTCAGTCCTAATTGAGACCTCTGAGAATGACTACAGCTCTGTCAAGAAAGCTGAACTACAGAAACTATTAGGGGGAAAAAAACCAAGACAGCTCTCCATATAGTATATTAGCACATGGTTTCTCAGTTCATCCTTTGAAGTGACATATAAAACTTTTTAAGATTAGGCTTGATTTGAAATAATTTTCAAAATGAAATAGCCTCCTTCAAAAAATGCTTTGAGTTTGTATGTGTTTTTTAATTTTTAAAGAACTGCTAGGATTTGCATGGTTTATCTCAGTGATGAAGTATAGAAAGCTTATCATGGTACTTCCTGAAACAGTACAGTAAGATACACCTAAGATAGCCACTACAATCCATGTCTAACACTCTCCTCTAAGGCTGGTCTGGTTAGCAGTCAAACCAAGAAGCACTAGTAATTTATTGTTGGATGAAAGTTCATCTGTCCCCCAAAGTGAAAACTGCAATGTAATCTGTACATACTGAAATATTTTTTAATTCTGTAATTGACTTGCTGCTAACTAGATATGACTTTAGGTATTGCAGCAATATCAGTACACTACTGTGTTATAGTCAGGTTACTCTAAAAAGCCTTCTAATGGCTAGTCAAATCTGCTTTGATTCTCAGACAAGCTAAGGATAGAACTAATCAGCTCACGAGAAGTGTTTCAGAAAATTTAAGTACAAAACCAAAAGGATTCTTAAGTTTCATTATCGAGTAAGTCAACAGCAAAGTCCTCCAACTTCCTGTTCATCTGTTCTTTTATGGCAGACCTGCACAATATAATTATGTGGATTTATGAATAAAGCAAAAAAGACAGCTTCTGAAGTACAAACTTACCTAATTAAGACCTCGTTAGTGTTTTTGAGTTCTAACACCATGACAGACACAGGTCCTTCTGAAGGAATGACTAGAGGAGGAACAGTTACACTCTCTGTATACTGGTCCTTGGATTCTTCATACCGTTGCTCAGCTGTGGCCTTCATACTGTCACGCCTCTGGGCTTTCTCAGTGACATTCAGATTTTCATCAATGTGTCTTTGGGGTTTAGCATAGAGGATGGCCTTTCTGGGGGCTTCTGATACATAGTCCACTATACATACATCTGAGAGCAACTCCAGATTATTTAGAATGTCTTCTGGAAATTTTACTTGGTAAGTGTCTTGGTACAACTTGGGAAGTGCATTAGCCCAAAGACCATTGGAATACTTCAGCAAGATGTTGACAACTTTCTGCTTGAAGTCACTACTAAGTGCAGGCACGATCTCCATACGTGGTTTTATCAAAGGGTCTACTTTTGAAGAAGTAACATTCTGAGATACCTTTTCTTGCTCTGCATCAGTTTTTGCTATTGGTGGTACTTTCTTAGCAGGATACAGAAGCCCATCCATCTGATCACCCCTGTGTACTTTCTCCACCTTTGAAAACAAAGAGTCAATAACGAGTCTAAATTATTTTCCCAATAAAATTTTTATAACATGCATTTTATACAGACTTGGAAGTGGACATCCACAGAGAACTAAGCTTGAAGCAGTTACCACAGGGTACTATTTCTTGCAATGCTTTCTCCTCCATTTTGAAGGGTATCAAACACATAAGATTACATCAGTACAGGGCAAATATCTAATGTGCCAGTAAAACTAAAATTTGCTTCCAAAGAAGCATCATCTCCCTTCTCTCCTAGTAGGACCAGAAGATGATGACACATTCCACAAACATCAGTCTTTTGGACATTAACCCCCCTCTGATTTTCCACATAGGTAAGCATATCATAAATAAAAGTTTGTGTCTCAGGTTACTGAGAGAAAGAGGATCTGACTGTATATTTCACTAACAAGAAGACACCTGTCAGACAGTGTTGTAAAGGCTATCTGCCATCATGCAGAGGAAAAAGTTCTGAAATTAAAGAATAAACTTCTGGATCATAGTAAATTTGATTAAGCCATTTTAAACCATGTCCACAGCCTCCCTCCAGACCCCGATGTTTTGCTGGTCCATATGTCTCTACCCTTTGCTAAGTCAAATAATAAGGATCTCACATGGTCTGAAGTCACCTTGACGGCACAATCTGAGAACTGTAGAAACCAACTCACAATAAAATTCCACTTGATAAAGCTATGAAGTTTCGTTCTAGATCAACCTAACCATAGCTTAGTAGGAATATTTGTGTAGAGTTGAGGTAAAAAAAGCTCTTAGAGTCCTAAAGCAAGAGCAACTCCTGCAATAAATAAAGTTGTTTATGCACTTCCACTGTGATGCTCCTTCCTCAATGAAAGAAAATCTTTTTTTGAAAAGAGGCAAATCAATGCACAAAACATTAATTAGTTGCGTTACTTGTTACTACTCAGGGGTAACATTTGCTTTTCCAATATTGATGTCCATACCCACCAGAACTTTATAAACGTTGCTAAAGTCATTCTCTGCTGTTCTCTTAGCAACATACAACAGAAATATGACAGATTTTAAATATCTTACATAACACGAGTAATACATGTCACTCATTATCAAGATGTTAGAAGACAAGCACATTTAGTTACAATACACTGAAACAACAGGGGGGAAAAAAGGCCATTACTGTGTCAAGAACCATGCATTTTCTCCTCTGTCTTTACACTAAACCCAAATTGCCACATCATGATCTGAGTTGAGAGAGTCAGCAAAACCACTTCAGAGTTACTACACAAGTACCTTTCCATACCCTTGCTGTGCATCACATAGTGTATGCTGGTGAAAAGCAAAGCTGGCAACAGGTCTTGGTCAAAGTTCATGAACACTAGCACATGTGCTACTTAAAATTGACACAAAACTTCTCACAGATATAAGAAAAAAGCTGACCATGTTAGAGAATTCTCATGTATTTATGGTGTCGTGTCTGAATCCTCCTTTAACAGTGAAAACCAAAGCAGAAGTATTTTCTGCAAGAATAAGATATGAGAAAGCAAACAAACCTACCATAAGACTCCTCAAATTCACACAAATGAGTCCACAAGCTTTAAGACTTGAGTCTTTATAAGTAGGCTCACTATATCCAGGAGACATTCCCTCTTAACCATGGGGAGGGGAGAGAATGTCCTATAGACATCCCTTTAGTAAAGAAAACACACCTACTATAGTATTAAATATATACAAGTGGTATAAAAGTCTTCAATGTCAGTAGTACATTCACCAAATTCTTAAGCATCTCTGCTAGTCAGTTTCATAAAAGAGTTGACAAAACAAGCTTGGTCACGCAACCTAGAAGGACCAAAGATGTCTTCAATGATTAACAACAGGTAAACCTACATTTGTATCCTCTGTTACCAGGAATGTTATTGTGCCTTTTGAATCACTGGCAAAGAAAAGAGCTTGGTTAAAAAAAAACAACCAGACAAAAACTTATAAAAGTCTTGCAAGGGCTTTGATATACAGTCAAGAGATCAAAGTATATCAAATGTCCCAGGCAAAAATAAATAGATAAAGCAACCCCTCAGGGCACATCACCTTGCAGGTAATGACATTCTAGACACAGACAAATTGATAAGGATGTCTGTAAAGAGAATGCAGTTAATGAC